TGTACTTTTTCCTTGTAGACCACTGGGAAATGTCATTGTGTGTTCAAGAAAACTAACAGGAAGAAAAGAGCAACAAATGCATCTTCTCTGAAGTCACAGGGGTAGCACAAATGTCACATCAGATTCAATTAGAGAAGAGCAGATAATGAAAACTCCAATATCTGGCTGCATTTGCTCTATTCTTCCAGTATTCAACATGTCATTAATCACTGGGGACTCAGAAACTTAAAACATTTTAAAAGGATTCTTGGAAAAATTCTTCCCATGCTCTGAGAGTTCATTTTAGCAATACCTCTTCTTTTCTCAATATGCATAATTGAGAGTTTTGCATAACAATGGCCTTTTAATTATTTAATATTTTATCTGCTTCTGCACTTTCTCACAGGTAGTACCAATATTCTACATAATGCATTACATATTTCCCCTAGGAAAAAAAATCTTATGTAAAATAATTGAGGATTGCAACTTTATTTTGAAAAAAAACTTCACAAGAAAGGTTTAGGTATGAGAAATAAGAATTGTTTTTATTTGTATGCCCAAAGCAATAGGGTTGGGTGCTTGGGGTTTTTTTAATATGCAGTAAGGGGAAAACTGAAGAAGAGGCAGAATTTTTGTCTCTCGATGCAAGATTTACGAGAACATTTCAGAAGATAAAAGCTGATTTCAATCAGCCATAACTGTCACATTAGGCAGTTCATTTATGGTCATATGCCTAGGGCTTCATACACGTATCTTTAGTATAATTATATGTATCTGCCTTCAGTTTGAACTGCTTGATTCAGGGTATAACCAGACTTGTTCACACAGTGAGGCAGAATATTCTTGCAAGGCTGCTGTGCACTGCATGGTATACATGATTTTAAATGCCCTTGTGAATGAAAACTAATCTGATTGTATCTGAGAAATGAGATTTAAAGTTATTAGAAGTCTCAGGCAGGAACAAATATCTCTCTTTTTATGAAAAACCTTGCCATATATATATATTTTTTTTTTTTTTTAAAGCAGTGATTTCTCTAGTGATGTGTCTGATTATGTAGGACTATAACTATGTTAGGAGAAATAAAGAAAAAACTAACATCCTTGCATTACATTACTTAAGTTTTACTCTGCTCACAATTGCTCTGAGAAACCTGAGAGTTTTCAATATTAGTATTAATCTGGACAGTTACTGTGTATATTAGCATTTCAAGACTGCAGGTTCAGGCTAGACATAGTTAAGCTTTTTGCAACCTGTTATAAACTATTGCTACTGCATTATTTCTTTTACAGATATCACTGTTCAAACAAACAAACAAACAAACAAGCCCCAACCAAACCCAAAAATGTAGATAGGTTTTTTCCAAGGTAGTGCAGTTTTCAGCTGAAATGCTATAGTTTTTCCTCATATTATTCTAATACCTACAATTCCTAAATATTGCCATCTATGACAGCTTTTCATAAATGATGACTTACCAATGACAGTGGGGTGTTTTTTTTTCAAGAGCCCTTTCATGAAGTGGACACTTTAACATAGCATCTAAAAACTTATTGTTTTAATCTAATTTAAAATCTTCTCCATGTTCATTACTATCAGATTATAATGCTTGACAATACTTAGTTAGATGTTGAGATTTAGTAGCGAGAGAGGTAAACACACCACATGCACTTCATAGCAAGACACTGGCCAACTCTGAGGGAACGAAGAACAGGCAGGAGCACCAGGCACTACGTTCAGGAGTACCTGAAGGTTCAGCTTTATGATCAATCAGACCTAATATCTCTCCACTGATGGAGGTGTCTTGACCTCAAGGTCGTTTGCCTCTGCTTAAAAACAGCAGAAAGAAGAGAGGACAAAAAGAAAATTAGTCTCAGAAAAATATTAGGAAAGTAAATAGTAATGAGAAATTCTCTTGGTTTCTAGAGGCAAGCTAAGAGACAGGAGATCTTGCTGCTCTGTGGGGTGAGTTCAGTAAGCATTGTGGACTTCAAGAAAATGACTCCATGTCTCTGATTTCCTTCTATGACACACTGTAGGGAAATTTTACCCTAGCATATTAATGAATCAATTTCCTTATTTAATCCTTTGCAACATCTTCCAAGGACATGTCAGTCATATTTTCTAAAAATGGTCAAATTCATAAACATAAGAGGTTTAATCTCATTGTATTATTTGACATTTCAGGAAAATCAGAAGGGTCTTCATCCTAAGCAAGCAAGTTTTACTTCAATAAAAAGTTGAACAAGTGTTCTAAAATATAGATAACTGAGACTGGCCAGGTAAGGCAGCCATGCCTGTGAAGTTTTGCCCTTGCAGACGGTGTCTAGCCAATAAATTTTCTCTCTGAATTGCAGACAAGTCCATGGAGCCCTGTCCGCCTCTAAGAAACTAAGACTATTTGTAGTCATTGCACATTGCAAGGAAGAATTTGAGAGCAAATATAACAGACATAAATCTTGTCAGTTTTTATGCAGTTCCATTTTTTTTATATCCAGAGTAGTGATATTTTGAGGTACAGTTTAAATTAAGCTTTTCTTAATTAGCTGTGTTAAATTATAAGAAAGGGCTGCTCTCTTCAAGCAACAGAATTCTTTGTAGAGCAAACATATGCATTATGTGACCATAAACATCTAATGCTAAAGTGGCAGCTTAGAAAGAGGTGTATGGAAGTAAGTAGGTAATTGATGTAAAATTATTGTCTTCTGGATAGTTTCCAGTTGGCTTACTGGTTGTGATGGCTCTGTTTCATCACCACAAGACAAATTGTTCAACATGTTTTAAATGCACATCCAATCTGATAGGCGTAGAATGTGAATTTAGGCACTTTCTCTTTCAGCAGTATCAATCTGCGTGCAGCTGAATTTTATCTCTGAAGTTTGATATTCATTTTTTAAAAAGTTTCAGAATTGTTTACTTCACTTATATGTTTTCCTTTGGTTTCTAATGAAAAAGAAGTTTGACACATATTTGTTTTCAAACTGTTAATCAGTGGTCATTCAAAAATCAAACATGAGATTGCCTATAAATTTGGTTTATGATCCAACAGCTTTTCTTTGAAATAATCTGAGCTGTCAACGGCCTTGTTTTTTGAGAAGCTGTCCCACTGGTGGTGGCCATGGCAGGTCTTTAATGACCTTGATTTCAACTGGATGGGAGGCAGGGGTTGGGAAAGAGAGAAAGAGAGAAAGAAAGGAAGAGAGAGAGGAAGAGAGAAAAAGAGGAAGAGAGAGAGAAAGAGGGAAGAGGAAGAGGAAGAGGAAGAGGAAGAGGAAGAGGAAGAGGAAGAGGAAGAGGAAGAGGAAGGGTGGGGACAGAGAATTCAGTAGAGGGGGGAAGTACACCCATGCATCAGTAGGTAATAATATCCAGGAACTAAAATTCTTGCTAAGAAACCTGAGAATTCCCTCATGTAAGAATAGGAATTTGAACACTCTGTCCCTTCTGTCTGATAACCATGTTGATAAATACTACCTAGTGGGAAGAAGACCCCCTCTTTTTTTTTTTTTTTAAAACACATTCAAAAAAATCTGGTTCTTTGCATACAGCACAGAACAGGAAGTGCTTTAATATAATAGATATTTTTTTGTAGGATATGAAAAGTATTGCCTTCTGACATCTATTTGTAAGAAAGGAAAAAAAAAAAGTATTTAACTTAAGAGACCAGCTGTAGTTGTGAGTTTAGTAATTTTTATATTATTCTTCTATTTAGTAAAAGCTTAGGCAGATAGGATTAAATTCTGGTTTTGCTGTTCAATTAACTGTGCCTCAACCTATCTGAATATCATATTAATTTTGGGTAGCCAGCTGAATGATGGGTTGACCCAGTTGAGAAGCCACACTCCACAAAGGGAACTAAGAATAGGTGGAAAGAAAAGTCAAAACCCAAAGACGTTGCTGGAAAGCTGTGGGGCTGCGGCTGTCTCCAGAGTCTGTAATGAAGAATGATTTCTTGAAGAATGAAGGAAAAGCTCTGTAAAGTAGAAACATAAAAGTTGATATTGGAGGTATTCTGTAATTGCTGTAAAGTTTAAATTAATGCTGTAGGTTTTAAAGGGCATTGATAAATTAATAAAAGAAGAGAGGAAAATTATTTAAGAGTATGCAGCTAAAACTCTCCTGCAATTCAGCTGACAGGAGATGAGTGTGTTTTGTAGATTAAACACATGTGGATGTGGATGTGCCACTAAGAAAGGGAAAAGTGATTTTGACAAGTCAGAAGGAACAAATATTATAGAGTTAAATCAAAATGTCAAATGCACTTTAAATCTCTGACAGCCCATATTCTCTGTTAAAGCTGAAGTAGGAATTAATGTCAAAAAATAAAATATTAAAATGTTCCAGGTGACTACAAAAGTTGGAGTTTTCCCTTGAACATTTACTATCAATTTTAAATAAAATATTAAATGAATGCTCTTAATTTTATATAGCATGTACTGATCTGAGATCTATAAAGAGTACACTTTCTAACAACATATAAAAGTAGTAATAATCAATGTCGCTTTTATGAATGAAGTACACAGATGATGAATTGAATAGAATAGCTGTACTATGTAGTTACATGGTTTGAACATACTTCAGCAACCTTCAGAAGGTTTCTGATCACTACAAAACTCTTCCCATTCCACAATTTGCATAAGTCTACTACTATTATTCCAGGTTAGATCAAAAAGGAGGAGGGAAGTAATCTTATTAGGAATCTTGACATTATTTCACTGTATCCATCACTTGGATTTTGAAAACTGAGCCTTCTTCTAGTACTCCACTTTCAGAAGTTACAGTGATGGCAATATCTTTAAAAATAAGTACAATTTTCATCAAATATTCAAAATGGTTTTACATTAATTTAGTTTATATTATGTCTCTATTAATTACTATATTTCATAGAAAGGTAATTAAATGTTATAGCAAGCTACAAAATGCTGGATTTACACCTACTAAAGACATGAGCGTTATTTAAACAAAAGTAAAAATAAAGCATTCCTGAAATCAGAAAACTATATATGTGAATTTCTTTCTTTTCTAGCACCACTAACAGATAAACCACCAAAGCTTTTACACCCCTTGGAGAGTAAGCTAACAATTCAGGAGACCCAGATAGGTAAGTAGCAAACACATAATTTCTGTCCATATTATATGAAGGTATTTCGTATGTTAATGGTGATAGTAATGTGTTGGCATTAATGTCATTGAAAAAACATTAATAATACTTTTTACCATGCAGAGACAGATGAATCTGATACCATCTAGAAGACTGTTGCTCACAAAAATTTGGTAGTACTGAATACTGAATACTAAGCTCTTGAATATTAAATATTACTGGTACTGCCTTTTACCTTTGCTGAAAGTCTGTATCTATAAGTGTACCTGTACTTTCCTTTCTAAGCTTCTCCTTTTTTTTTTTTTTTTTTTTTTTTTTTATATTTGTATATATTTATTATGAGATTCAGTGGGATTTTGTGGTTTAAATTCTACTTCTAAAATTTCTTTTTTTTTTCTTTTTGGTGCTTACTTATGGAATAGCAAAGATGTAACTATAAAAAATGTTGTGCTTATCTGAAACTATGCAGCAGACAGTGAGAAGTTAACTTGATAGCATCTGATTATTCTGAATGAACAAATATATATGTAACGATGAATGGAGAAAAACTGATGTAAGAAACCATTTTGTTTCACTTTTTCTGGCCTAGTGGGTGGTGGGTATTGTCACTTTGATCTGCTACTGCCATACAGGTAATTAAGGCTCCAATGCTAAGTACATGAGCTACTACAGTTTGAAAGACATAACAATCCATCTCCTTTGTGGATTGACACAGAGGGCAGCTTGTAAGAAGCCAAGCCTCAGTAGGTTACACTGGAATGATGCTTTTATGTCAGAACTGTAACCTATTGATAGGTCTTCTGGCATGTTAGCTACAGAAACAAATGGAATAAAATCTGGTAGTTGTCTAAATCTCACAGGAAAAAACAACAGCAACCTAAGCAAACTCAGTACGTTCTGCAGCACAACACTAGAAAAAGCAGAATGCTTGCAAATTAATTCTGGCAGTCATTGGCAGAACATTTGATGGTGCTTGCAAGGCTATGTCTAATAGTGGCCACAGAATAATCCACCTTTGTTTAGATATCCACAAATTATGAATCATGAAAATGATTCATGCTATTCATGTAATGTTTTGAGATGCTGATATACTTTTTCCGAAGCTATTATATAGAAAAAAGGAGATGTAATTAATTGCCTTCTAGAAATAATTTCTGTTGTTCTGAAGATACTGTTTCTGATATACCAACTCAGAAAATTTTTGCTATGTGACAATCCTAGATGATTTTACCTTTTCATTTGAACAAAAGCCTAGGGAACAGAAAGCAAAATGACTCAACATATTTTTTTCCTTGCTAATGTTGCTTACTGAGATATTTTTTATGAAAAAAACAAACATCACAACCCTTTTTGACTTTGACATCTTGCTAAACGCACTGTATGGGTAAGGCTATTCCAGGAAGTGTAATTATTTAATGTCAAGCTAGAAGCTTTTTACATGTGATTTTTAAAATTACTTATACCTTCAATTTCTCATAGTTCTAAGAAACAGATTAAATAATTTGAAAAGTCCTGGGTTTGGAAAAGGCACTTTTCAGAAAACTAAATACCTATTGATGAATATGAAAGAGTTCGTTTGAAAGTGTCACTTTCAGACACAAATGGGAAAGTCTGACAGTAGATGAAAGTGAAGCTCTAATACTTAGCCTTATATGAAGAGGCTGTGAGAATATATTAATTTGTTGTTTAAAAGCCTATGGAAAAATATATGAGAACTGGAGCAAGTGCAGAAAAGTGATAGTTCCCTGACATGAAAATTATGCTATTTTACACTTAGATTAGTATCTCGGTCCTGCTAGATAACATTTGAAGGGTCTATGTTTCACTTCCACTGAGGAAAGCTATTATTTATTTAAGGGAGTCACTTCATACCCTGCAAAAAAATGCAAAATATTTTAATAATGTTGAGATTCACTTAGCAAAACCTTTGTTACCTAAACTAGCAGCCTGCTAGCCACCTGAGGCTTGAGGTGACCACATGTTGCAGACTGGTCTATACACTGCCAGAAAACATATTAGTCCTCCAGAATGTGCTTTAAATGGTGTGTTTGTCTCTTATTTGGAAAATAAATGCATTGGGGGAAGTGGGGCAAAAGGAATGGATAACATAGAAAAGGGAGAGCAAGGAATTAGGTTCTTGAGGTAGTCCAGGATTTCATTAGCAGGTAAGCAGTCATTGTGATGGGGAGCTGGGGCAGCCTCTGTTATTCCTCTAAGTTTCTGTGTTCCTCACCTTGCAGTCATCCACCTTCAGTTGGAAATGAAACAAGGTGTGTCAGGGAATGCCCTAGGGGGTGCATACGTAATTTACAGGGATGTATATGCTTCTGCAGGTGCAGATGGTGTGCTGAAACATCAACAATGATGGTTCAGCTCACAATCTTCCTATGCTGTGGGAAGTGACTCCAGTGTATTTGCTGCTGAAGGAGCTCCTAGAGTTCAGTTATTAAACAAGGTAAATCCATGCAGTGTCTACATCAATGCTGGAAGACTCCAGGCATGTGTCACTCATTTGGTTCCAGCGCGGCTGAGAGACAGAGATATCTGCTATTTATTGCTGAGATACGTTGTTCTCTTTTATACACCAGCAACTAAAATTATTGTCATGGGACCATAGACCTGTTATATTATTGTTGCATGGCTTTCGTAAAACAGCGGCAGACCAAAAGGTGACTGCACATTAAGGAAGGAGTTCCTCTGGGAGGTGACTGATAGAGTGTTGTTGCCTAAGCTAACTATTGTAGTTGGACTTGCTGAGATAAAAGAAAGAAACCAGAGCTGGAGAATCTCCACTTCTCAATCCTATTAACCTACAGGCTCTCATCATGCTAAAGTTATCCACAGCTGGTTATGCAAAAGTGTCCCACTCTTCATCTGATGTTTGGGAGACAGTTAAGCATGGCTGTGCTGCAACGAGCAACCTTAGAGAGTCACAGGAATCTTGAGACCTCATTTGAAATATCTTTTTATCATAATGAATAGTAACCAGAAAAGCATACGATAGAAGCATAGAATAGAAATGGAAATAAAAATTAATTTTTCAAAAGATTTTAGCAAAAGACAAAGCAAAAGCATGAAACAGAGATATCTTAAATGAGGAAAGAAGGATTAGCTCCTTGTTCATCCTGTTCTGCATTTAATATTTTTTTGTTTGTTTGTTTGCAACCTCACTTTAAATTTTGTAATCAATACATTAATCCTTTTGCAAGGCTAAAAATACTGTTTTCTTTTTAAACTTTTCTCCTTTTAAAAGGGTTCTCTGGATACAATGACTCCACGTAAACTACTATGTCAAATACTGTCTTCAAAACTATACAGCCTGCAAGAACCTCGGTGCTGTAAAGAGTTGAGGTGTGTTGCCCATGCAGCTCTAAGCTGCTGTATGGGCTGACAACAGCATACACTGGGGAGAAGAGACAAGCAGGCAGATGAATGGGAGGCAAGGGGGAGTAAAGGCACAGTTAAGAACAACATAATGACCCACGGAGTTGCATTCCACAGTATTATTTCTCTTACCTTCAACACAATAACAAAATCAAACAAACAGATCATGACTAACATAAAAACCCCTAGTAACAGTAATAATACAAACCTTTCCATACAGACCAGCTCAGAAAGGAATTATTTAATATTGTTTCTTACATGTGAAAAATCCTAAAACTTCAGTAACTGTATTTCTAATTCATGTATATGTTATATACTGATGGTACACACATATATATGTGATATGTACATTCATATAAAAATTATATTCTGGTTTTCTTTATTAGTAAATTTTGAGTCTTTTCAGTTTCACCTCTATTTCAAGTAATACTGTTTCTTCCACCTGTACTGGCAAATATCTGTCTTCCTCGAGGAAACAGGAAGAATACTTTCAGACTGACTTAAGAAAATCTGATTTTAGTATTCAGTTGTTCCATATTCATCTTACTAAAGAAGAAAGATGTGTCTTCACAACAGGCAATAATGGGTATGAAACTAAAAAACTAAAAATAACCTCAATAATTATTTAAACACCATCAAGTTGGTTAGACTGTGTCCTCTCCATTTTTCAGTGTCCTTCCTGGTTCTGCATGGTGCTATAACTTGAAATGCCAAAATTCACCAAGAAAAATTAAGTAATTGTCAATTTATTTTTTAGCTAGGTCTCATTTTAGAGAAAAGAATAAAGGAATAAAGGGTTTTCAGCATTATACGAATGGACCTAAAACACAAGTTTGGACCAGCACCTAAACACTTTATAAAATATTTGTAGGAAAGGAACTATTAGAAAAATTTCATACTTACCAAGCAATAAAATATATTGCATGACTATTCATATTCACTACACAAACAAATGAAACACATAATTCAAGTAACCCACATTAGGGTTCCTAAGAAAAAATTATAACAAACATTACAAAATTTCCTCTCTACACTAATGTAACAGGTTGAGATGTGAGGCTGTTTGGGTTGTATGTTTTGTTTCTTTCACAACTTTCTAGGAAACTAATTTGAAGTAATAAAATTACTTCATTTTTAGTTAATTTATTCAGGGTTAGATTTTTCATGGCACATTACTGCTTATTAACAATCGTTGGAGGAATAGCTTCTTGGTGCTTATTTTATAATACTTTTAGAGGTTGATATAAAGATACCTATGGGTTTATTATAGTTTAACTACTAGTAGAGAGTTTTTGTGGGTTTGTTGTGTGTGGTTTTTAATGTCTCACTAATTTCTTCTAATCAAAGCATTCATCCCATTTAAGAGGATTTCTTTTTACAAGATACTTTCAATCTTAATGTGGAGATTCAATTCTCATATGAAGAAAGATGACCTACAAATAATGCAGCCAATATTGTACAGTTGATTATTATTATTATTTCCTTTGTCAAGAGGTAATCAATGTTGAAGCAGGTATTTTATCAGAGATATAGTATCCAAGGTGCCACTTTTAGTTTCCCGGTGCTTTGGAAATGTCAGGCATTTTAAAAAGTTTATAGATGTGAATGCCTCCCAT